CGTCAGGTACTGATGCAGTCAAAAATACCTTTGTTCACTGCCTGGCATTTCACTCCTGAGAAACAAAAGTACCTGGGCTCTTGTCCTGACCATCTCGCCTTTCTTTGTTCTCCACCTACTCCCACAGAGTTTGTTAATATTACACTGGTGCTGCAAAGCCAGACGCTGCTCTCTGAGGAGAGAGCAGTTGTGGAGATCCGTGTTTACTGTTAGGAACACTGTGTGTTTGAGCTAATCTGGCTGGCTGTGCTGGAGAAGAGGAAGACCTATTTTTATATTAGGTACTAGTAGGCGTTTTCCTTTTGTAAATGTTTGAAGGAACTTGGAACACAGACTGGGCTTCTTTAAATGGAACATGTTGGCACTTGGCTACCTTATAAATTAAGAGAATGAATCAGTGCTGTTAACAAAAAAGCAAGTGAGACCATTCGGAACCATTCATTCATGTGTCACTCTTCCCTAATTTATGGTCCTTCATTCAGTTTTCTGTGTTCAAGCAAATTGAAATGAAATGTTTTCCTTAGTAAATAAATCCAGACACAATTAGATTATATTTCCTTATCATTTAATTTCACAATTCAGTTTAAAACTGATAATCAAATTTGTATTTTAATAAAACAGCTTATTTTCACTTACCTTTAGATAGTAATTTTTCCTTCTATGATTATTTCTACATCAGGGACAGAAGTTAAACTTGCAAGATACTAATAGTGGAAGGCTTTGCTAGAAGCTTTGAGCAGGATATGTGGTTCTAGTTCTCTGAAACACTTCTGGCAACTCACCTGTGATGTTAGCCAGGAAAAGTCCTTTTTCCTTTTTTTTTCTCCCCATGTGTGTCTGATATTTGTCACAGGCTCAGTCAGTAAGCTTCCTAACTAAACTTATTAAGGGTCAGATCATGTGGATAAGTTTCATTATCTTTTCAGCTAGTTCTCTTTCTAAAGTATCCCATACTTACCTAAACAGTCCTCTCTATTTTGATTAGATTGAAGAGTGAATTTAATTTGTGTTTGTTACCAGCCTGCCTTCTTTCTGGTGCTGTTTAATTACAAATCTATAGATTAGTACACTTATAAAATCTGTTCTTATTCACATTAGTATGTTCTGTTTCTGTTTTCATGCGCTGGGAACTCCAGAACAGCACGTTTTCTAAGCTTTCCCACCTCATAGCATAGAAACTCACTTCCTGTCCCCACCACTGAACAGCTCCCTCCCCTAAAGATCCAGAAGACAGATCTGTTAACCTGAGGCAGGTCAGTGCTGGAGCAAGATGGCCTTTGCATGGAGGAAACAAGGAAGAGGAGGTAATTTTCCTCCTAGCTGAAGATAGAGCAAGGATAATACATGTGAGGAGAAGATTCTTACATGGCTGTAAATGCAACCACATGGCTGTATTTTAGGGCCAGCAAGGCAGCATCTGATTTTGCAGGTGGTCCCTGGCTACAGTTGGGTTCCCTTGTTTTTACAGATTGATTCCATGGGAAATCGAGTGATTAGGAAGTGTTTCAGAAAAATTGTTATAAGGGTTTTGCCAGTCTTAGTGTCATGTGAGGGTTATTGGGGAATGTCTTAAGGCCCTCAGGTTTGTAAGGGTTTTTTTCCCTTCAGTCTGTCCTTATGTAAGCCATGGTTTACATAGTCTCACTGCTCGTTAAGTTAGGTTCTTTTCCCTTTTCCAAACCTGTAGAGGTTTTACATTGTTGTGCTCCCAAGATGTTCCATACAGGGGATGATTAGTGGTGAATAAGGAATTCCTTTATTACAGTTCATAGAATATTTTGGGAACAGCTACAATAGTCTGTCTTTGGAAAAATCATGCAAGTAGGGAATAGAACAACTGAAAAAATCCCTGTAGTGACTCCTAAGAGTATTTGGGGAGTTTGAGGAAGTGTAAAGGACTCCAGTGTTGTAAGATTGCGGTATAATTCAACAGGGAATGTATCTGTCATTCAGACTGTTTTAGCCTCAAAGGGTGGATGTGGAAGGACGAAGAAAATCTTGTTTTAATATAGTGGTATATGAGACACAGCCGTCCAAGCTGCATCTCATTTGTATGCTCTCCAGTGCAGTACGCTTTGATCTTTTTCTCCCTCCAGCACAAGTTAGCGGGATGAACATGTGCTGTCAGTAGCAATGGAAAGACTTTTTTCTTTTCCCCTCCTCTTCCCCCTGCTGCTGCAGGATTGCCATGAGAAGATTCGTGTTCTCTCCCAGCAAGCAGCTGCTGTTGTGAAACAGGAAGGGGGTGATAATGACTTCATTGACCGTGTCCGCGCTGATCCTTACTTCAGCCCTATCCATAAACAACTTGAAAGCCTGTTGGATCCCTCCTCCTTCACTGGACGTGCTCCTCAGCAGGTAAAGTAGTGGAAAGAGGCTACGGGCGTTACAGGTTGTAATGCAATGTGTTGTTTAATCCTGCATACTCTTGTGTGCTGGAGAGTGTACACGTTATGTACCTCTGCCCATACTACTAAGGCAGACACATTTCTCTCTTTTGGCTTCCTTGGCTTTCCTTGTGGGCTTCACGTTTTTGGCCCTGGACATATCAGACTGCTAGGTGTCTCTGTGAAACAGAGACCCCAGTGAGATGAGCAGGTCTGAATGGGGAGAAGAAAGGAACCCTTTCTTTTGCTAATTTTCTCCTCCCTATCTTTCTTGAACAGGTGGCAAAGTTCCTGAAGGAGGAGGTTCGACCGGTGCTGATTCCATACCAAAGCAAGATGGGTGGGAAAATTGAGCTGGCACTTTAGATATATTCTGCAAAGGTGTGCGGGTACAGGAAGGTAATAAAAGCCTGATTGAACCAGGTCTGTTTGCTGTGTCACGTTATTTTGGTTCTCTACAGTACATTTAACCCCCAGAGCTTACAGCCACCTTGATTCCAGATGGGCTTTTCATTCTTTGTCTGCTGTTTAATCAAGCCTCCATCTATTGTGTGCTGAGTTACGGAGAAATGCTTGATTGTGACAAGGTAACTTTATCATGGTACCTTTCGTTGGCCCCTTACGGAGCGCAGCCAGCTGTTTAAAGAGCAAAGCCAGGTGCTGCCTGACATTCATTTATGACTTGTTGAAGAGCAGGGATAAGGGGAACTAAGCCCACTCCCATTTCCATGTTATTCATCTGCTCTTAAACTTTCTGCACAGGTTTCTCAAAAGATGATAAAAGGTTGTCCTGGCTTTCAGAGTACCTTGATATAGGGAGCAAACAGGCAAAAAAATTAGGAATAATGAAAGGGAGAGGCCATGGAACTTCTTGGCTCATCAAACTGGTGTTCCTTCAGTGCTCCCTTGCTGGTTTAACACTGTACCTGTGGCTCTGTAGCTTCTGAACATTGTATTTACGGCAGATGTGGGTTAGGAACCAGCCATTCTGATTTACTTTTCCAGGTCCTTTGCTGTAGGTGCTTGATACTGAATGGCAGGTGGACTCTGGCATGTGAAAGTCATTCTCTACTGCAATTAAGTTTTGTCTGGTAAGGAAAGAAAAAAGATGATGGAATTCACTGGATACCAGAGAAATTCAGGAGCTTTCGTCTTATTTCTGACCCTGAATGTTCTGTTTGTAATGTCTGTGCTTTACTGGACATTCAGTACTGGACGAAACTCTTCTCCCTTTGACTTAAACTGGAATGATTCCCTTACCTCTTCTTCCAGTGTTGTTACCATACAGCCCATTTCTTTTGCTTGAGTGCAATAAAAAGCTCCCTCTTTCCTCTGTTATTTATTCAGACTCTCAGAGGTGACATGATGAGAATTAATTGATTATTTTTCATGTGTGATTGCTGGAGACAATTAAGAAAAGCAGAAACTAATTGAAAGAAGCTACCTGCTCTCTTTGAGGCCATCATCGTTTAAAGATTTCAAAATACAGTATGTTTTAATGAGGCTTGTCTGTATTAAGTAGTCAGTGAAGTGGGAAGCTTCAGGCCACGATCTCCCCTCATCTAGATTGCTCTGGCTTTACCTTGCCTCTAGACTATGGCATTCCAAATGTCTCAAACATTTGTGAGTTTTATGGTGTTTAAAATACTTTGCCTGCTCATGCTATTAACAGTTAATTGGCCATCTGTTTGAAAAGGATAACTCTAATTGAACACTGGCAATTTTCAAATTATTACTCAAATGGATAGCCAAGAAAGAAAACAGATAGATGCAGAACTCCTCCTTTTTTGGTCCTCTTTCCTTCTTCTTGGTGGGATTAAAAACAACCAACCCCATACAGAGAAAAGGAACAGCTAACATCTTTTTCTCATCATCCGGAAATAAATCTTTGTGCTAGGTAGAGGCTGCCAGCTGTGAGGCATTGGACCTGTTTTCCTGGAAAGTTTAAAAAGAGTAACAGTGGCATGGGGAAAACATCACCCTCCTAGAAAACTGTGGCACGGTACGCAAATCCTTCCGGAGACTTCTCTTTGGAAGAGCTTGGTTTGGGGCCTCGTGTACTCTTTCCTCCAGCGGAGTTGGCGGAGGCAGCAGCCAGAGATGTAGTTCCCCCATCTCCTTGGCGGTTGGGAGCAGGTTGCCAAGAAGCTCTTCGGAAGCAGCTCTTGACTAACCGGCGAGGCCGGATCGCTCTTCCAGTTCATCCCGGTACGCGTCCCTGCGACGGATGCCACCAGTAAAAGCGGCAGTGGGTCAGCGCCCCGCTCGGAGGAGAAATTCACCTAGACCTTGAACGACGGAAAAGAACCGGGCGGCTTCTCAGCGTCTCGCCGGGCAGAACAGGTTCGTTTCCCGTCCGCTGGCGCTTTACCCGCCGTAACGGCGAGGGTG